AATCGGGGGAAATTGGGTAGTTATGGAGAAATCTCGTTATTTCCCTGTCTCGGGTGATTTAATGTGCGTGATTTAAGATCCTTTTTAAGAATGAAATGGATTTGGTGCATGGTGTTCTATTAAATGTTCTCGCCTCTTAAATGTTTGTTTTTGTTCATCGTGATTGGAAGTTAAATACTTTATGTTAAGTTTTCCATATATATTTTGTGATTTAGTTAAAGTACCTTAAGATAACTTGATTTTGTACTCGTTTGGTAAATAATCGATTTAAGAAAGCTCAATGACAAACAAACACACAGGACTAGTATACTGAATGATAGAACACCTGTTTAAACAGACATCTATTTTTTTAGATCATAAAAAGTGTTTATTAATAAATTAAACACGTAAGAAATCTATAGCAAATAACACAAACAAACACATTAATCGTCAAGAAAAATAGATCAATAAATAGATAAAAAATATAATCAAACAGACACAGGAAAAAAATCAAAAGTCATACGCAAAGACAAACCATAATAGAGAAATCCGAGTTGCAAACTTAATTTCGAAAATGATTTGACTGACTGACATGCGTCTGGATTTTGCATGAATCTCATTTCGCGTAATGTCTATCCTCTCCCCCTATGACGTCATTAGTATGTCAGGGAATATATATATATTTTTTTCGTTCGTGTTTCTTGTTTTTGTTGTTGTTGTTTTTTTGTGTTCTCCCTGTTTTGGTGTCTTTTCTGTCTCTTTGTTTCTCATTTGTTTTCTTTCTTGTCTGTCTGTCCGTCTGTCTCATTCTTTCTTTCTGTTTCTGCCTGTTTGTCTGTCCCACTTTGTCTGTCTGTCTCTGTCTCTGTCTGTTTCTCTCTCTCTCTCTTTCTTTCTCTCTTTCTTTCTCTCTTTCTTTCTCTCTCTCTCTCTCTCTCTCTCTCTCTCTCTCTCTCTCTCTCTCTCTCTCTCTCTCTCTCTCTCTCTCTCTCTCTCTCTCTCTCTCTCTCTCTCTTTCTCTCTCTCTCTCTCTGGTCCTCCTTCCTTCTTCCCTTTTTGTTTCTCTCTTCTCTCCCTCTCTCCCTCTCTCTGTTGTGGCGGACATTACACCTTCGATCGAACTGGCGTGGAGCTGTGATTATCTGGCTTCCCCTTTTCTCTGCCTCTCTTCCCCTTTCGCTTCCCCTCTCTTCTCCCCTTTCCCTTCCTCTTCTCTTCTCTCCCTTTCGTTTCCTCTCTCTTCTCTTCTCCTCTCTTTTCCCCTTTCTTTCCCCTCTCTTCTCCCCTTTCCCTTCCCCTCTCTTCTCCCCTTTCCCTTCCCCTCTCTTCTCCCCTTTCGCTTCCCCTCTCTTCTCTCCCTTTCGCTTCCTCTCTCTTCTCCTCTTTCCCTTCCCCTCTCTTCTCTCCCTCTCTTTCCTACGCCAATTATCTTGTGCTCAACTTCTCGTCTCGTTCTCTTTCTCGTTTTCTGTGTCTGTTCTCGTTCTCGTTTTCTGTGTCTGTTCTCGTTCTCGTTTTCTGTGTCTGTTCTCGTTCTCGTTTTCTGTGTCTGTTCTCGTTCTCGTTTTCTGTGTCTGTTCTCGTTCTCGTTTTCTGTGTCTGTTCTCGTTCTCGTTTTCTGTGTCTGTTCTCGTTCTCATTTTCTGTGTCTGTTCTCGTTTTCTGTGTCTGTTCTCGTTCTCGTTTTCTGTGTCTGTTCTCGTTCTCGTTTTCTGTTTCTGTTCTCGTTCTCGTTTTCTGTGTCTGTTCTCGTTCTCGTTTTCTGTGTCTGTTCTCGTTCTCGTTTTCTGTGTCTGTTCTCGTTCTCGTTTTCTGTGTCTGTTCTCGTTCTCGTTTTCTGTGTCTGTTCTCGTTCTCGTTTTCTGTGTCTGTTCTCGTTCTCATTTTCTGTATCTGTTCTCGTTTTCTGTTTCTGTTCTCGTTCTCGTTTTCTGTGTCTGTTCTCGTTCTCGTTTTCTAATTTTGTTCTCGTTCTCGTTTTCTGTGTCTGTTCTCGCTCTCGTTCTCGTTTTCTTTGTCTGTCCTCGCTCTCGTTCTCGTTTTCTGTCTGTTCTCGCTCTCGTTCTCGTTTTTTTGTGTTCTATTTCTCGTTTTCTTTGCCTGTTCACGCTCTCCTTCCCGTTTTCTGTCTGTTCTCGATCTCGCTCTAGTTTTCTATGTCGCTTCTCGTTTTCGATTTCTATGTCTGTTCTCGATCTCGATCTTGTTTTCTCTGTCTGTTCCCGGTCTCTTTCTCGTTTTTATGTCGTTTTTCGCTCTTTCTCGTTTTCTATGTCTTATCGCTCTCGCTCTTGTTTTCTATGTTTATCTTTTCTTTGTTGTTCATCGATCATAATTTCTCTCTCTTTTTTTCCCTCTCTCTCTCTCTTACTCTCTCTCTCTCTCTCTCTCTCTCTCTCTCTCTCTCTCTCCTCTCTCTCTCTCTCTCTCTCTCTCTCTCTCTCTCTTTCTCTCTCTCTCTTCTCTCTCTCTCTCTCTCTCTCTCTCTCTCTCTCTCTCTCTCTCTCTCTCTCTCTCTCTC